TACTCATTGAGTTCAAATTTGGTGACCTGTCTTCATCCTACTTCCTGATTGGTTGGTAAATACTTATTCAGTACAGTGAAGTCAACTTAATGAGTTAGCAATCTGTGATTGGTTTATCGTATACTTATTAGTTCATTCCAGATTCTTTTTGTGTGTTCCGGAATAGTTTTAGCCTGTGTTCTAAGATTATCATTGTCAGGTATAGATCAGCTTGTCTAAAAGCAGCCGCATTTTGTGCATGTGGATGCACAACAGGTTGTTTCCAAATATCTCAGACCTTGAATACAAGGGGCTGGCCACCAGGCGGCGGATCTTGTCAGTCTCCCAGCTCCGGACGATCTTCACGTCAACGTGGTTTCTCAAGTTTCCCATCGTTTTGCCGAACACCGAGTTGTTCATCAGTTTGTAAAAGTTGGTCTCAAAATTGCTCTTCGCTTCTTTCCTGAACTCCGTGTTCATCCTGATGTAGGGCTCCATCCACCGCTCCTGGTCAAACTCAATTACCCAGTAGACATTTTTCAAATGCATTCCCTGTCTGAGGTAAAACTGCAGATTCTTGAAATGAACGACGTACTTCAGTGCTTTTATCCTCCAGTGTGAGCACCAGTTTCTCGCTTTTCGGGAAGTCCAGCCCCAATCATCCATCATTCTTTTTTGATACTTTGACATCTGCTCCACCCCGATCGCCTTTTTCTCTGGCGCGAGCGGGTNCTCGCTTTTCGGGAAGTCCAGCCCCAATCATCCATCATTCTTTTTTGATACTTTGACATCTGCTCCACCCCGATCGCCTTTTTCTCTGGCGCGAGCGGGTAGCTGTTGTGGGATTCGTGGTGCTCCTCCGGGTACTCCAAATCCACCTCTAAGATCCATCCTATCCGAGAGTTTTCTTTCAGCTTCATGATTTGCTCTTCGGTGGGCATCACTCTCTTCCACTTGAAGCCTCCTTTGGGCAGCTGCAGGCTCGTGGCCCAGCCGTACAGATTGTTCGCGTCAAAGTACATGATTAATTTGTTCGGCTTGGTTGGGTCGTAGTCGGTGGCCCGTGGGTTGTTGGCCTTTGCATACCACTTGCTTCCCATGGAGATGCCGCCCCGCATGTCTTTTTCAATGAACAGGTCCAGGTCTGTCAAAAGCTCCAGCTCGACCCTGGTCTTTTTCAGCAGTGCATCCCAGCTCAGACCAGGGGCTGCGTAATAATGAGCTGGGTCTAGCCTCTACTTTCCCATGCAGACTTTTTGGAAGTTTTCAAATACGTCTGCTAGTAGCACGACGTCGGTTTTCACGTACAGATCGTGATAGTCGCCAAGAGTTTTGCATCCAAACTCAGCCCAGTCTTTTTTTGCGTGGGTGTACTCTTCGTCGGTTATCCCTTTCCCGGCCAACTTCGAGGAGAACTCTTCTTTGGGCGGGAGTTCTGTCTCGGTGAACCTTTCAAAGCTGTCCATGTACTCGTACAGGTAAATCCCTTTCTTCAGGAGCAGCTTTCTCTTCTCACTGTCTTCACAATTTTTTGTTATTTTCATGTCTTGTGGTGTGCTGCCATTTACCAGCACGTCTAGGCTGCTCATCATGAAATTCAGGCTGTCTACGAACCTCGGGTTTCCAAGCGAAAAGGAGATGTATTTCTCTGGGTTGTTCGGAATGCAGCTTGTCTCTCCCTGCACCCACGCTGTGGCCTGCATCAGCAGGTGTCCATCGTAGCCCTTCAGGTTGTGGAAGACCACTGGTATCGCCACCGTTTTAGGTTTTATGCGGAGCTTCAGGTTGCAAGCATTGTGGGCAGCCCCCCGATATTTTCCTGTGATGTGGCAGTGGTCTTTCTCAACATCTTTGTAGTTTTTCACTAACAGCGGCTTTTTGCAAAATATGCAGTCTTTGCTATCGTAGCCTTTAGGCTTTCTCTCTCTCAAAGGCCCCACGAACCCCTTCATGACCTGGCAATAGCACCTTTTGTGGCTTTGGCTGTGGTACTTGCCGGAGTTCAGGTTGAACGCATTTATTGAGTCTCTAAACTCTGTCTTTACTAGGCTTTCGTTGCAGTTGTGGCATTCGGTCACGCTTTTGAATTTACGCCAGTCCTCTGGCGTCATAACGATCGGCTTTTTGTCAGCCAGCTTGGCCCTCATCAGCTTTTCATGGTACTGAAGACTTGCCAAAAAGCTGTACACCGCATCTCTCCCACGGTACACATACGGACCATGCATCTGGCCGTTGCTTTTCACGATTATGTATGAAAAACCGCGAAGCTCGTGGACCTCTGTTTTAATCGTTACCTGACCTTTTTTTGAACAGTTGTGGATCTTCCTTATCAACGATTTGAAGTCAGCGTACACCACGAACGGCGCTGTCATCTGCTTGTTGTGGATCTTGAACTTTACCTTGTTTTCACCCACTTTGGGCAGCTCTGTCCTCGTTGGCCTTTTCAGCTGCCCCATGCATTCAGGTTTGTGCCTTTCCAGCAGCTCTGCCGTCGTGTAGCCGTGCATACAGCATTCGCAGAAATGTTTTATGCCGACGTGCTTGCTTTGGCCGTGTAGCAGCATGCTCAACCTTCTCACGAAAGTATGGTGCGATTTTTCTTTGTCCTGTATAAGCATCAAGTTGATTCTCGGGACGCTTCCCTCTTTTTCACTGAGCCTATGCACAATCACGCTGTCTTTTTCCCAGCCAAACACGTTTCTGGCCAGGTGCGGATTTTGCTATTCTAGCTTTTTTATCTCTGATATGGGCGTTGGGAAGTTTATTCCTGTAAAATTCAACCCGTCTTCTGTGGGATATCTTGACGGTCTTGACACGTTCATACCATCTCTTGGTGGAAATAATGCCACACGCAGGGGCCATCTCAAGCACTGGTTGTCTCGGTTTTTAACGTTGATAATCGCTTTTTTGTTTTCTAGCTTTTTGGGTGGCAGTATGTAGCTGCCTCCATGAAATGGTTGGTATTGGGCGACATTGATGAACGCTTCCACAACGGCTTTTACCACCCAGCCTGAGCTTCTTTGAGACCAGGCTTCTATTTCACCTTTGGCTTCATCAATGAATTGGCAAAATATGCTATTTACTGTTGCTGCGTTGTTTCTGTTGAAAACCAAGGGGTCTCTCTGTTTGAAATAATGTTCAATTTCTTGATTTACACAATCTCTTGTTATCGAAAACTTAACATTGAGCCCGAACTGCATTTTGATACTTTTTAGGGTTTTAATTTCATTCTCTATCACTTTTTCGACTCTTTCTCTCGTTTTTTGTGTGAATTTCAGAAGGTCTGCTTTGAATTTATAGGCTTCTGGAACTACCATTTTCCATACATGAAGCCATTCATTGAAGTTGGTTCTTACCAACTGAAAATCAAAATTCCTGCTGGCCCTTATAAGGGGCTGAAGCCTTGTGTTCTCTTCATGTGAGATAGGGCCGTAAAACATCTCTATCACATCAGAAGAAAACCTTGACACGTCATGGTCGCTTTATGCTAAGGCAGCCGGCTTATTCAACTGGGATTTTTTTCTAGAACAACAGTCGCGAGCAGTTAACACACATGAATAATGATAGTTCTGGACTCTAGCAGTTTGTTCTTGTTTTGTTTTTTGAAAATAAGAACGAATCGACTTGATCCAGAACTATCATTATTCATGTGTGTTTCTTGGAAACAGAAATCACCATATTCTATTCCTATCTTGGCAATTGTTTGTGTTCATTTCACTAGCAATGCAGAAATATTCAAAATGATTGTTGACAGGTACAATGAATATCGATTTCAAGTTTTGATTCCAGTTGTTTACGTATCTCATCTCTGTAACAAAAACAAGATTATACATACATCACCAGCCACTATGCCTGTTTGACATGGCTCGTGTTTGACATGATTGGACAGTAAATTTCTCTCGCGAAAAGTAGATCTACACAGTCTCTTGGATGCTAATTTGTCTATCCATCAATCAAATTTTAGAGCATATTTACTCTATCGATGATGCTGACTTGTATACAACACCATTAATGAAGAAATGCTCACTCTGGACGAACTGCATAGAATACAGAAGCCGTAAAAGCAAGAGCTATTAAAGTAAATGGTTGGTTGTCTGATATGGAGATCGAGGAACTGAGAGAAGTGGATAGTAGAGGAGTAGTCTGTGATGAAGGAAGTGGATCTACTCATTTGACCAGTGAATTGGTAACAGAAACAGACAATGAGACTCAATTGGCAAGCAAGGGAAACACGTATAATGAGGCGGATGTAGGTGCAAGTCAGCAAAGCATGAGTAGGGACACAGAAGGACTCACAGATGAGGAAAACGAGATCTACAATAGGATCATGAGAGTTGTAAATGGGGAGGAAAGAGATCGGCTACCAGCACTGCGATAAAGAGGCAAGCGTGAAAGAAATGTTCAAGGACACGGCTGACAATGTGACGGTAGAGGGACAAAAACATCTGGGTGCGGTGATAGGTTCACGGGAATATCTAGAGGAATACGTTAGCGAGAAGGTGACCAACTGGGTCAG